TCTTGCCGACATCTTGACCCATCGAGGGCATGGGCACCACCGCGGGCGGCACCAGACCTGCTGACGAGGCTGTGATGTCGGCTTCGCTCCCGCCCGAAATGGGAGCGACATCAGGCGGCGGCCCCTGCCTTGCCTGAAGGGCAATGGTCTTCTTGGGCGCCAACGCTATAGAAGTGCCCCATCTAACCCATCTCTCGACGATGTAGAGGAAACAAAAGGCGTCAGTCACTGAGAAAAACAGAGGAATCAGCAACTTACATCGGCGTTGTTGGGCGGTGGAGACGTTTGGGGGATGAACCCCCAATTCCCTGCTCCCCCTCGTCGGGGCGGGCCCATTTTGAGCCCATCCCCTGCTCCCTGGCCGGGGGGCTCACCTCCCTAGTATTTGGGGGCACGGCGGCAGAGCTACCCCCCTCTCTCGGCACCTCGGGCATGGCGGCGGATCCGCCTGCCTCCGCCGGCTCTTAGGGCACGGCGATAGGTCCGCTCGCTCCCACTGGCATCTCAGGCACAGTGGCAGATCCACCCACCCCTGATGGTGCTAAGGATGGGCCAATGGTCTGGCCCGCCTCCTCCTCCGGCCTCACGGCCTCACCTTCCCTTACGTGGAACGGGAAGGGTCCCTGCATTGATGAGTGGGTGCCTATCAGCACGTCCTCACTTCCTAGGTCACCCCACTCAATGTCGGGAACTACCTCGTCATATTCCTCATCGTCATCGTCACTATCTGTCTCTTCACCTCGCTCCCGTGCCTGCTGCTTCTGTAGCTGCTTCTTCCTTTTGAACTCCTTCGTCTTCCTCTCCCACTTGGGCGTGGTACGATTTGCCACTACCACGAGTGGGTCCTTCGGCAGTGGAGCCGAGCTGTCTATGAAGACGAGCCTCTTTGGCTGGTCCTGCTATCCCAATATCGGCATCAAAGGGTCGGAAGTTCAATTAAAAAAGAGAGGCACGGGGAAAGAGAACTTACGAAGTCAATGAACCCCAGTTCTGGTTGCATTGGAGGGTGCCCCGACACCGGATACATGAAATCAAGGACGACACCGGTGTCATCCTTCGAAGGCTCCATCGCCTCCTTGATGCGCTGCGCCACTTCGGAGGGGGGAAGCGCTTCATCGGTAAGCACCGTCCCAGCGAGTGATGCTCCGGGCGCCATCAGGTATAGGGGAAGTGCGCGGCTCATCAGTGGTGCCACCCTCTGTGTATGGTAGGTGCCGATGATCCCCGACCCCTTCACGCCCCTCTCCTTTAGAATTCGGATGCCGGCGAGATGGTCCTGGATTTTCTTCTTGTCTTTATCCGGTACACCCCACTTCTACGACTCCGGGACCTCTTCGATAATGCGCTCGGAGAACGCTTTCAATGGGGCGACTGCGTTGTCCTTGATGTAAAACCAATGCGAATGTCACTCCTTATTGGAAGTCGATAGACGCATCGACGGGTATTTGTTTACCCGGTTGTTGTGGAGATGAATGCCGGTACATCCCACCGGCACGCTCAGCTCTTGCCTCTTCTCTCGCTTCTTCAAAATGTTGACGGCAAAGAAATACCGCCACAGGTCAAAGTGGGGACTAATCCCCAAGAACCCCTCACAAAGGGCGACGAATGCCGCAATGTGCTAGACCCCATTGGGAGTGAGGTGTTGCAGCTCCACCTTGTAGTAATGCAACAACCCCCGAAGGAACTTGTGGGCAGGGATAGCGAATCCCCGCTCATGAAAGCAAGCGAAGGACACCACGTAGCCTTCAGGCGGCGACGACGCGTCCTCATTGCTGGGCAGCCGCCACTCCTCGGCGATGGTCTGTGGGCAAAGGAGGCCACGACGAACGAGGCCCTCTAGGCGCTGAAGGGTGATATCAGATCTGCACCATGGCTCCATTGAACGATTGGGAGGGGGGTGGATGCAAGCTTGACGGCGGCTGCGATGCAAGTGCGGGAGGCTCAGGCGATTGGCGGTGGATGTTGTAGATGCAAAGGCGAGAAGGCAAAGTATGAAACCCTAGGGGCGAACCCCTTGGTTTTATTGGGGCGACGGATGCGAGAAGGGCAATCGTCCACCTAGATCTCCGTGCCTGCCATGATACACCACCACGTCACATCGTGGGATAGCGTCCACGATCCCTATCCTTTCCCACCAAAGTCACGCCGGACATTTCGCCTTCCTGGGTGGACCAAGACTCTTTTTCCCCAGAGGGGATATGGGTCAAAAAGCATTTCTCTAGCCCACTTGGGCCCAGGAGTTCGAGGGCTGGCCCAATAGTTTCGATGACCGTCCCAACGAGGGATGGGCACGTGAGCGGCCAAAAACTCAGGTGCACGAGCCTCAAGGAAATCTCGATCCGCAATCGAGTCTCAACCGGGCTGACCCTGGATGAATCCCCGTCAATGGGATACCAGGGTTCCTTTTAAACTATCCAGTTGTCAAAAACCAAATCTCATAGCCATACCCGCGAAGGCTCCGATTTACCCCCGAGCGATTCTACCCGAATCATCCGGGGGCTCAGGGGGCTACACGCGATGGGTGCGCTCGCGCGCACCCTCTGGCAAGTCAAATCACCCCCCGGACGATTCTATCCGAATCACCCGGGGGCTCGGGGGCTACTATTGGGGACCGATCACTAGGGTACTCAAAGAGGTGGTACTAATAACCATCAAACACTGATGCTTCCGAACAGGCAAGAACGCAACTACACTTCTTGCCCATACAACCGAAGGTTGGCTGTGCCTTGCCCAGCCCCGAAGGGTTGGCTCCGCCTCGCCCGACCCCCAAGGGCTGGACTCCGCCTCGCCCGACGTCCGGGGACTAGCTCCGTCTCACCCGACGACTGAGGGCTGGCTCCGCCTCGCCCGACGACTGAGGACTGGCTCCGCCTCGCACGACGGCTGGCTCTGCCTGGCCCAACGTCTGAGGGCTGGCTCTGCCTCGCCCGACGGCTGAGGGCTGGCTCCGCCTCGTCCGACGACTGCATCCTGGTCCTTCATAAATGATGAGCATAGGGTAAGACAGGACATTTGAGTCAACCGCAGTACCGAGGACCGTACCCTGCACACTTGCGGGCAAGTACTGTTAGGATATGACGGGATGGGTGTTTTAAGCCCTTCTAGGCATGACAGAGCCCGAACAGTGTTGTAAGCGCCAACTTTCGTCTTATAGTGTTGTGGGCACCGCCATTAGCCCTCGGACGCGGATCCTAACATAAACATACGACAACCACTACAATCCAGAGGGGAACTCACATCATCTACAGTGACGGACATATGGTCACTTCCCCATCTGGTCCCCGTAGGGTCACGGCTCAGGACCCTGGCACACTGTACCGTCCATCGAAGTAGGATAGGACGTAACCACTTGCTGAACGAAGCTAGAGCACGGCCCTATGAGGATCAGCGAACGTGCTATCACTAGCACCGTCTGCCATGTCAGTAGGGCAAGCTCAAGGAAAAAGGAAGACCCGGCATCTTCGAAGGACCATCTCTACTTCTAGTTTTTCCTCTTTCTCCCACCTGTAATCCCTGCCCCCTTGTCTATAAAAGGGAGGGCAGGGCATCCTACTAAAGGGATGGATCGATTTCATACACAACACATCACACAACACATAGCCAAGCAGCAACCAAGCTCTTAGCATCTTTTAACCTTTCCATCAGAGACTTGGGGCACGTCCCTCTCTCGACCGTTTGTACCCCTACTACGAACCTTTTTCAGTACTAATAACACGAGCAGCAGCAAACTAGACGTAGGGACATTCTGCCCGAACCAGTATAAACCTTATGTCCTTTAGTATATCATCCGGGCCTAACGCGCAACAAATATAAATTTACTAGTTGATGTTTATTCGAAACATCGACACCCTTATTTTCACAAATATATCTGCAGGAACTAATCTTTTCATCTGACTTTCTTTTGTTTGTGTAACTTTTTCTAACCTTAAAGCCTTTTTGACCCATAGCTAATCCAAAACATCCAAGCCTCATCTACAGTATTAAACTCCATGCCAACTTGAGGTAATAGTCTAGAAAGCAAACCCTCCCTACAATCAACAAATAATGATGAACATGATATTATTTATGCTGTTCAAATAGATATTTGATTTGGTGGTGAAGGTGAACTGAATATCTAATCCGATAGACAAAAGGGAACAGTAGTGGCATTACATACCTATTTTCTTCCATCGTAAATCCTAGATTTTGTTTCCTTCAAGCTTCATCTTAAACATGTTAATTTTGTTTTGATGCAGATTCTATCTCAGATTTTCTAAATCCATCATTTCAGCACAATTAGATGAGAAAGGACACGAGAATCAAATTAGCTAGACCGAGCAGCACCAGGATATAGAAGAGAGGACGTGGGTAGAGATCGAGCACCACCAGGAGATGTCGATCACCGTCGCATGAAACCCGAGAGAGAGACCGAGCAACACCAGCAGATCCTATGGAACCCGAGCGGCACCGAGATGCGTTCGCCCGACTGCACTCGCGCCAAAAATAAGAGGAATGGCGGCAAAGCAGCCACTACTCGCGCCTAAAAAAAGGAACGTCGCGGCTGTTTTCTGCTGAAACAGGCCGTCGGATACGTAGGAGTATGAGTGGTCGGATTTGTCACAACTGCAGAAGAAAGTTCAGGAGGTAACATTAGACTGTCTCCAACGATCCGAACCCATATACGAGACGCATTCAGTGGATTGGGTAGCCTACAGGAAATGGGTGCGTCACCCAAAACTCCTCTTTTCCGACAGCCCATGCATACGCGAGCCTCGACTTCATCGCCCCCATCCCAATCTCCGACGAGTCCGCCGCCCTTGCGGGTGGCACGCCGGTGGCCCCTCCCCCTTTGCCTCAGCCTGCAGTTCAAGAAAGACATAACTCCTGTATGCCATCCAACTGAAAAACAATAGCAGGTGCTTCGCAGTCCATCTGACTGCAAGATCCAACAACTAGCTATCTAGTTTGCGTGCGAATCGAAGAGAAAGAGATCAATCAACTAGCACAGCACTCACCAGCCGATGTCGCGGTCGACGATGCAGTGCTTGCTGTGCGCCGGCGCGGATCCAGATCCGGTTGTTCTTCACTGTGTTCTTCGTTCCCGTTTCTTTCCCCTTCTTGATTCGTGCTCGATTTGAGTTTTGCTGTGAGATTTGTTTAGTCCGATTGATGTTTTGACGAGTGTTGAACAATCCTACCAAGTGGTTTGAATCAATTCCACTCGTGCATCAAGATCCAAGCCGATCTTTATTTTGGGAGAAAAACTCGTTCTTGCTCGAATTTCTTCGATTTACAGAGTTACAGTTTAAATTGAGCAATGATCCCCTAGGAGTAGCTTTTTATCTTCATTGCGAATCGCTGTGCAAAGTTTGGGAGCGATCCACGAAGATTTGAGTCAGATTTCATCGATTTTCTTGGCCGCTCCTTTTTTGTTCTTCGCGTGCGAGCTCTCTGTTCGTCGTGTGCTAGTTGATTTGGCTCCTGGCCGAGCACACCAGCAGCGCCCAGCGCTGATCGGCTCCGGGCCGAGCAGCAGTTGCCCGCACCGCTCCTGCCGTGGAAGACTTTGCGTCTTGAAGAAAGACGACGCAAATAAGCATCCCGGTTGGGCTCGTACCAAAAAAAAAAATATCATGCGTTTGCGTCTTCGGTTGGAGACGTTTTTTTTCCGTAAAAACAGTGTATGACTGATTTTGGGTATGCGTCGCTCCTTGGCCTGAGCTGTTGGAGACAGTGTTAGACGATCTGATTCCGCAAGGGACGGGGACGGGGACGGGGACGGGTCGCGGCGTCAGATGCGGCTCCAGCAGCGCCAACGTTGAGGCGGCGCAGCGTCTGGTGGGCCTCCTTCCGCGTAAGGGCTCCCCCGCTTCGCCGCCTAAGAGAAGGTCGCCGCCGGCGTAAGTGCCCTCGCTCGATTCTTCACTCCATCGACGCTAGTTCCCCCCAATCTTTCCTTCCTTCGGTCGATCAATACATGGACTCTAACCTAACCCAAGTCCACTGTTCCACAGGTCGCCGAAGAAGCAGCCGGTCACTCCCCCCTCACCCGAGGTTCCAATGGGAGCCCCACTGCCACCTGCACAGTACAGCAGCCCCGGGGAAGATGGTTCCAGCCGCGCCTCCGTCGAAGCTGAGAGTCCTCCACGCGTCATCAAGCGCTCCGTCGACGACGAGCTTTCCCCCCACTCGCCGAGTCAATAGCAGGTCGCCACCGGAGTAAGTACCCTCACAGACTCTTAATTTCGTCCAACCCACCCCCAATTCTGCACTCGATTGAGGTACACGATCTTTGCTCGCTCAAATGTGCTTAATCTGACCCTACGTCCTTTTGCAACTGGTTCATGATCTGCAGGTCGCCGCAGAAGCAGCATGTCGCACTCCCCCCACCTGAGGCCGGAGCGGGAGTCACCCTCCACCCACCCGAGGTTGGGACCCTTGCACAGCACGGTGGCGCTGGGGAGGATGGTACTGATGACGGATCAATTGCCGAGTTAGGTATCAAACTATTTCCTTGTCTCCCACGTGACCAAGCAGCATCCGCTCTGTGGGTTGGTTTTGTCAATGATGCCAAGACCTGCATCAAGCAATATAACATCAAGCATAAGGTAAGCTGTTTCATCTATTGCATAGCGCCATCCTCTCACACATTTCGATATGTTGGCTATTCATTTATTTCTACTTGTCGATTATCTTGCACACTATTGTTCCTGAGACATCTATTTGATCAAACATGTGCTAGTACAACTAGCAAACCTCGCATGCATTGCTGCGGGTTGTTGTCAGTTAAAAACTGAAACCAAGGTTTAGTCATTGCAGACTACTAGTTCTTTTGGCTAGATGGACAACCAGCAAATTTTTGCGATCGCTGTAGCCTGTAGCTATGTCTTAAAATGATGTAAGCATCAGCTGAAGGGCGCTGACATGTACGGTTGTAACTCTCATTTTAGGGGTAAAAAAGAATATAGCATCTAGAATGAAATCTAAGAAGTTACAAAAACAAACTTACAGCCCGGCTTAGCCACCTAGATAATAGTATTTCGATTACCCTTCACAAGCATGTAAGTTGTAATCTGCTGCTGCCCCTCTCTTTTGCTGCACAGCAGGGGTTGGCAATGGTCAGCTCTTGCTGTCCTGTTGAGGTATGGCAATAAGCCATCACCTCCTTGTACTAGCTGTACAATTAGATATGGCAATAGGCCACTAGATGTAGTGGCATACATCAGCCATACATAGTTGGTAGATGCTGATTTCAGCCATGTACTAGTAGTACTAGGAGTATTTGAGGCTGTACCCAGCCATACTCTTGTGTACCTTATAGTTGGTACAAGAGTTGTATATATACCAATAGCATAGCAATGCAATATTCAGTTCAGTTGCCACATTCAGTTTCAGAGCTCAAGTTCAGAGCTCTTGTGTGTGCTGTGTGTGCTCTGTGCTCACCCCCTTCTTCAACCTCTAGCCAAGTGTGAGTGAGCTGGTAAGCTAGCTGCTTACCTGTACAAGGAGATCGAGGGCCAACAAAGCATGCTACCGAATACGCTATCTTGTTTTTCTTAAAGATGATTACATATACTTGATGCGTTAGAGACCTTTATGTCCCAAAAGCTTGCACATGAGTACTGATAACGCATAAGCTCCATACTTCAAGCACAAATGATAAGACACTGATTATGCATAGCAGAAAAACAAAGGTTAACCAGGTTGCTACCTGAAGAAACATGATCAAAATTACAGAGTACAAATTATTTGTTGGAAAACATGAATAAGCTATTCCTGCAAAAAAGTACTCCCTCTGTTCCCTTTTACCAGGTGTGACAATGGTGTTTACAGATACCAAGGACGACCTTCGGTCACATGCAAATCATATTAACTCGCACACTTATCTGTGTCCCTGGCCATGAAGTCTAACCGTCGTTCCGTCTCTAGCCAGTAGTATACAGGCCACGTATGCATCCATGCCTTCATTTAATGAACCAAAGGTGCCATTCCATGCATGAGACGTTTCGGTTTTGAGTGGTCTAATTAAGGGCCTCCTTGATTCTCCAGCCCGCCCGGTATAGTGGCCAAAATGAAAAATGAGAGTACGCCTGGTATAACGGAATGGAGGGAGTATTGTCTGTAACATATTATCTAGCAAAACCTGATACCTTAGTGATAACCAAATACGGTGTGTATTAAGTGTTCATTATTGGTCGGAATACCATGTTATTCAGAAATGTTCCTCAGACTTTGTAAGCATTGGCACAGATTGCTCAGCTGTCTCTTCAAAACCAAACATTTAATTTCAGCCATATAGAGACTCCATAATATTTTTTTCTTCTTAAGTATTGACCATGGTGCAGAATACGGATAAAAACATTATCACACAATTTAATCAGAGAGGGTATTCCAGATGATAGCTCCAAAATGCAGTCAGGAAACTTAATCAGAGAGATTATTCCACATGAGAGCTCAAATAATCAGAGACACGATTCCAGATGACAGCTTCAGATTATACAACAAAGTAGGAAATGGAGAAGTAAAGGCAATTATAGAACACAGAAAATAACATCACCAAAGTAGGGATGTTGGCAAAGATGTGAACGTGTGAACCGGCGGAGAGGTTTGTAGCAGGGCCATTTGAGAGCAGGAGCAGGGGCGAGGGCAATGCGGAGAGGTCGAGGGGATGGTTTTCAGTAGGACGGGATGAGCGAAGATGCACTTGAAAACTATGATGCCCAGATATGGATACATGTATCGGATAAGACACGATACGGACATGCGGATTTGCCATTTTTGAAAACATGCTGACAAGAGGATACGGCTAATATATTATAATACTAATAAATATATAGGGATAGCAACAGTGTTGAGTAAGAAAACAACTTCAAATAAGAAACCTAGTGACTTAAAGTACATAACAAACTTAAATATATTAATGCAACAGGAATGATTAAGTGACTAAATGATGCAAAATAGAGCAACTTTTAGTCTTTGACTCTCCATACAAGTATCCACTGTGTTTCGTGCAAGTATTGGTATCGGATATGTATCCGATACGGGATATGGCACCTCCTTGGTGTATCCGTGCATCAGAGCTTGAAAAGACTGGGTACTTGGAAAATTGATTAAATTCACCTTAATTGCATCATTTTAGCTATACATGACATTCTGAATGTACATATCAAGTTACTAATAATAATTAAGCCTCTATATTTCTTTTGTAGGTCAACTTTGTGTACAAGCATGAACCAAGTAATGGGTTCTACAGGGTTGAAGAGCAAGATGGCCATGCTTACTACCACACGAACTTCTATGCTCAGGATGAGTATGGACACTCACAGCTCTTCTTTGGGGAGATCAAAGAATGTGTTAGGGCTCAGGTGGAGGATGTCACCTGCTGTTGTCCCGTCTCGTCTTCTGATACTGGTATATAATTCGTGCCTTCTCAGTTGGTCCATATGCTTTTATATAATTGGTACAATGGATCATTCTTTATGTTTAGATTAAGAGTAAATTTTACAAAATTAGAGGTCCCGGGTTCGAGTCGCGGTCTCCTCGCATTGCACAGGCGAGGGTAAGGCTTGCCACCGACACCCTTCCCCGGACCCCACACAGAGCGGGAGCTCTTTGCACTGGGTACGCCCTTTTTAGAATTATCTTGACATAATACCCCCACGGTCCCACGACCTTTTTGACATGTACCATAGACCTACAACTACTTTGACATAGGTTACCAAAGAACTGCAATTTCTGTTACCAACGTCGTGGACCCCACTTGCCGGTGTCACAAGCAACTAACAGCGCCGGTTTCTGCGAGTCATGTCATCTATCCAATCGCGCCTTATCGACGCTATCGTATGACCGCCATCACTGCCCAACTAATAGCTCCATGACAATTGATGTCGATATATTGTGCAAATCTATACTGAGTTGGCAATATATTCTTGAAGTGTGTTTTTGAGCAAGATATTTGTTCATGGAATCCTTATGAACCCCCCCCCCACCCCAAAATAAATAAATAAATAAATTAAAATAAAATTATATAAGCAAGTTCATTTGAGATAACTCTGATGTTGACCATAAAAAATAAGTGATGCTTTCAAGTTAACCATGCAATTGTTTAGGTGACATGGGTTCAGTGTTACGTAATGAGATCGCTTTCAGCTAGCAAAAAAATCCTAAGTTGCGGCAGCTGACAATCCATTTTACTGTTGCACGCGCCAAACAGATGCCCCTGAAGTTTGCCCCTTCCCATGTTACCAGCATTCACTCTTCTGCCTCTTCCTGTCCCTGTTCCTCTATCCTGTCCCCTCCCTTTGGCTCATCTGTGTTGACTGGGAAACTCCAGGTATGTCCATGGAGCTTGCTTAAGAGCTAGTTTCGCTGCAAGGACAAATACGTGTCAAAAGTAAAACAAAGACAACACGTTTTTTCTCTTAGGCTTACCTCATTGCCTACCTCTATATTTCTCTTCCTAAGCTCCAAATCTGGCCGAAGCTTCTTTGAGCAGCCCCTATAGTTGTGGCTCTGACCGTCGCAATTGTTACAATTGACAGTGTCAAGCCTTGCATTCCCAGATCTTGCAGGTTCTTCGGCTGATTTTCTTCTACTTTCCTTTGGCCTTCCAAGCTGCTTAGTAAACTGTGCAATATCTTCAGTGTCAGTCACGACGCATCCACATTGCTGAGGAACAGGAAATATTACATCCTCATGATACTTATCCTTCTTGAACCAGTCATTAACAGTCTTCTGGCCTTTGCTTCATCTTGAAAATGGCAGCAATCGCATATTTGCATGGTAATCCAGATAAATCCCATCGACTCCTCTTCAGACAGCATATGTTCTGTCCCCACCACTAACCTGCCAAAGATTAATCCCTGTCTGCAATTGCCTACAGTACCTGGCATCCTTTTTTTCTAACTCTAATTTCTACAGTCACCAGGTCGCGGGTTCGAAGCAGCCTCTCCGTAGATTTTGCGAGGGGAAGGCTTGCCTCGGTTTTTCCCTTCCCAGACCCCACTCATGTGGGAGCCTCCGGCACTGGGTCTGCCCTTTTTTTTAATGTCTCAGCCATGGCTGGAGTTATTTACCAGCCATCCTTTTCTAACTCTCGTTGCAAGTCCGTGTCATGAGCCTAGGTCTGACGCATTCCATCATGGTCTTAATGGGCTTATCTCTGTAGTTGATTTTATAGTCGTTGAAAACCTCACTCAAGTTGTTGACAACTAGATCAGTATTGCTATTAGTCTAAAAGCATGCCTACTCCAATACTTGGCTGGTATTTTGTTAAGCCATTCAAATGCCTTTTCATTTGCATCTTTTAGATTTTCCATTGCAATCTTGTAGTAAAATTCTGTATAAGCATAAACCATCCCAATATGAAGCCAACACAGAAGAGTTTGTGTGCCTTTTATTTTCACATGAGTTTCACAAAGTTTATTAAAAGGGCGTACCCAGTGCAGAGAGCTCCCGTTCTGTGTGGGGTCTGGGGAAGGGTGTTAGTGGCAAGCCTTACCCTCGCCTGTGCAATGCGAGGAGACCGCGACTCGAACCCGGGACCTTCCGGTCACAGGCGGTAAGACTCTACCACTTGCACCAGGCCCGCCCTTCACAAAGTTTATTAACATGATCGAATTTGGTTGTTCTTACCTTTTGTCTATCCGACATAATTGTCCAACCACCATGCTTTGCTCCATTTCCAATAGCTTCTTCTAGCATCTAGCTGAACCACACCCAGTTTTCCTTATCCTCCTCGCCTACGATACCAAATGCTACAGGAAACAGTTATTATTGCCATCCCTTGCAGTTGCAGCCAAAACCTGAGACCCATTGCTAACTGTCACAAAGCAGCCATCAACATCTGCAAATGGCCTACAACCATTTAAAAAGCCTTGTATCTGAGCATTAAGGCACATGAAAAGGCCAAAGAACCTTGGATTTAAGCCCTGGCTAATCCTTTTTACTGCGGCGACTCTAACATGGCTACCTGTATTCTTGTCAAGTACAGTATGAGTAGTCCCTAATCCTCCTATACTGCTCCTTGTGGTTACCTAACATTGTCTCGCAAGCTTTAGACCTTGTTCTATAATCCATGTTCTTGGTTATCTCCACTCCATGCTTCCTGTACTCCTCATCCATGAGAGCTGTAACCTTCCAAAGAGGGTCACTCCTTATTTGTACTTCAAAGCAATGAATTCACTGCTTACTCTGCTACTCTCAGTGGTACCACATTTATGTGGTTCAACTAGCTCCCTAATCACAACGGTTGTCATGTGGGGACGCACATATGCCAGGAATAGAAGGGCCCGGGATGCCAGGCGTGCATCAGCACGCCAGGGCAGCAGCGCCGCCGCGGTCACCTTGGCAGGCGCCAGCCAGGGGTCGGTTTAGGTAATAGCTAGAATAAAGGAAAGAGATCCTATAATTTAGGAATGATTTGTTAGAGTCTTTCAAGGCTATAGCCTATAAGAGTCCTTGTAATCCATCATTGGAGGATAAGCAAGTTATTATTCATCTAATCTCTCTCTCGCTTTCCTCCAACTAAGCCTAGCCGGCCGAGGGGCAAAACCTCAGCCCTAGACAACAACGGCAGGAGACTACGAACTCCGTAGTCGAGGGCCAGCTACCCTAGGGCACGACGCCCTTGACAACCTGGTATCACGATTCCGGCGATCCTCGCCTACACGCTCCACCTCGCCATTCCCACCCCCAGCCGCCGCGCCGTCCTCCGTCTCGCCGCCGCCGCCGCTTCATGTTGATTCCGGCCATCCAGCTCCACCTCCAGTCTACGTCATGGGTGAACAACCCAACGCCGCCCTTCAGGCCACCCTGGACGCGTTAGCCGCCAACCTGAAGTCGCTTCAGACCTTCGTCGACGCCAATTCCCGGGCGATCCAGCGCCTGAGCGAGGAGCGTTCCTCGTGGTCGTCATCTTCCAAGAACGGGACTGGCGAACATCATCAGGATCGGCCGCCGCGGTTCCAGAAGCTTGACTTTCCGCGCTATGATGGCAAGTCCGATCCGCTGATCTTCATCAACAGGTGCGAGCCCTACTTCCACCAGCAGCGGATCATGGAGGAAGAGAAGGTGTGGATGGCTTCCTACAACCTGGAAGAGGGCGCCCAGATGTGGTACATCCAGGTCCAGGAAGACGAGGGCATCCCCTCGTGGCGCCGCTTCAAGGACCTTCTCCATCTCCGCTACGGGCCACCGCTGCGCTCCAACCCCCTCCACGAGTTGGCCTCATGCAAGCGCACCGGCACCGTCGCGGACTACCAGGACCGCTTCCAAGCGCTCCTCCCCCGGGCTGGCCACCTCGACGAGGAACAACGCGTCCAGCTCTTCACCGGGGGCCTTCAGCCACCGCTCAGCTTCGACGTCGAGGTCCACAATCCGCAAACCCTCGCCGGTGCTATGAACCTCGCCCGCAAGCTGGAGTTACGGGAGCAGTACGCGGCGCCTGCCCCGCGAGCGCCGCCAAGGGGCCTGCTGGCCGCGCCTCCGCAGCGCTTGGTGCTGCCCGCACCGCCGGGGGCCAATCCACCTGCTCTGAACATTGTCACCGTGGAGGGCCGGCCGATCAAGCGTCTGTCCACCGCCGAACAAGAAGAGCGCCGCCGGCTGGGCCTCTGCTACAACTGCGACGAGAAGCACACAGGGGCATAACCGCGTCTGCAGACGGCTCTTCTACATCGACGGCGTTGAAATCACTGACACCGACGACGCCGCGGCGGCTGAGGGTCCGGACACGAGACACCGGTCTTCTCCCTGCACGCGGTCGCCGGTGTGCCGATCTGCGACACGATGCAGATCCGCGTCGCTGGGCGCCACCACCCTTATCGCGCTCCTCGACAGTGGCTCGACCCATAACTTCATCGCTGAGGCGGCAGCGTTGCGCACTGGGCTGCTTGTCCAGTCCCGACCGCGCCTCATGGCGACAGTGGCCAATGGCGAGAAGGTCGCCTGTCTAGGTGTGATCCGGAACACGCCTGTCACCATCGACAGCACGGACTTCCACGTCGATCTCTTTGTCATGCCCCTTGCAGGGTACGATCTGGTCCTCGGAACTCAGTGGATGGCCACCCTGGGACCGATCGTCTGGGACTTCGCCGAGCGCACCATGTCCTTCACGCGCCATGGCCGCGACTTCTGCTGGAAGGGGGTGTCGACGCCCAGTGCGCAGGGGCTCTGTGCCGCGACGGCCAGCGGGTCCCTCCTCGATGAGCTGCTGGCTTCCTTCGGGGATGTCTTCGCCGAGCCCACGGGACTGCCCCCAAGCGCGCCCGCGACCACGGCATCGTCCTCAAGCCGGGCGCGCCGCCAGTGGCAGTCCGCCCGTATCGGTACCCGGCGGCCCACAAGGATGAACTGGAGCGGCAGTGTGCCGCCATGATCGAGCAGGGCATCGTTCGCCGCAGCGACTCGGC